TTTGATGAATATTCCCTCATTAATCACGTCCGAGGTTTGTATGGAGCGTAGCGAGTCAGCCGAGAATTGCCGATTGGTGGGTTTTCATCTTCTAGTTTGTAGAAATAAAATGAGTCTACTTCTAGTCGTCATATATCGATAATTTGTATTTTCAATATATACAAATGTATTTAAAGCTTTTATTTTCTATTTCCGCTCAAACCAACTGTCAGTTGGGTTCTATACGAAAAGGGAAGTGATTATCCATGTATATGAAAGTGTCCGATGTATTGTTATTTTGTGTCCGATGCACGGGGAAATGAAAATATTAGTAAAAAAAAAAACAACTGTAAGAAATTTATACGAATATTGATGTGATATTTCTGGAATTTTTTTTTTTTTTTTATCTTTTTTTTTTTTTTTTTTTTTTTGGTAAAATTATCAATCATTGACAAATTTAACCTAAGACGGCTCGTTCCCTTGGCCTAATTACAAAAAAGACAACTAAAAATTTAATCACTCCGATAAACTTTGATATTTACAACAATTTCTTATCCATCATTCGGTGTTTTTTTTTACATATGATATTAGAGTACCTACATGTACCTTGTACTGCAACATTTTGGCATTTTCTAGGTTTTGGGGTGTGCGTACATGTATATTAATTCTAAATGTTCGTTCGAGATGGATGGATGGTGAGGTATAGACGACTTTCACATTTACAAACGTTATTTCCCTTTGCGGGGTCAATCTGGGGTCAACCGGCGTAAGACACTGTTTTCCCTCTATACCAGTACCAACTTCATGGGACAATGGCTTACAATTGAAATCTGTATGAATATGTGTGTTATGTTTTTTATGTTGCCCCATACTATGGCAATACAGGCATGGATCTAAATTGTCAGATAGCGTTTAAAGTTGAAAACATTTACAGGTAAGTTACAAAGGTTATAGTGAGAAAAAGGAGAGTTACGTCGCCTATTGCCGCTCGACCCTGTCTTTTGAGCTTTTTAGTCATACACCTGAAAGCCTTTGACGACTTTTAAAGTCACTTTCTTTAAGAATGTCAATATCAGATCTTGTCTTATCTAAATGTCTCTGTAAACCCTGTCGATATGACATAAATGTTGTTTTTTAGCTCACCTGAGCTGGAAGCTCAAGTGAACTTTTCTGATTACTTGTTGTCCGTCTGTCTGTCCGTCCGTCTGTAAACTTTTCACACTGTTACCTTCTCAATAACTACTGGGCCAATTTTGACTAAAGTTGGTACAAAGCATCCTTGGGTGAAGGGGAGTTTAAATGTTAAAATGAATGGCAATGCTCCCTTACAAGGGGAGATAATAAAAAAAAAAGACAAAAATAGGCTGAGGTCATTAAAAAAATCTTCTCAAGAACCACTGGGTCAGAAAAGCTGAAACTTACATAGCATGGAAGCATCCTGGGGTAGTGTAGATTCTAAATTGTACAAATCATGACCCCTGGGGGTAGGGTGGGTCCACAATGGGGAATCAAAGTTTTACATTGAAATATATAGAGAAAATCTTTAAAAATCTTTTAAAGAACCACTGGGTCAGAAAAGCTGAAATTACATGGAAGCATTCGGGGGTAGTGTAGATTCTAAATTGTTCAAGTCATGACCCCAAGGGATAGGGTGGGGCCACAATGGGGAATCAAAGTTTTACATTGAAATATATAAGAAAAATCTTTTAAAATCTTCTTCTCAAGAACCACTGGGTCAGAAAAGCTGAAACTTTCAAAGAAGCATCCTGGGGTAGTGTAGAATTTAAATTGTTCAAATCATGACCGCAGAGGATAGGATGAGGCCACAATACGTATTACAAGGGGAAGAGCAGCAGGGACAAAGTTACTCAGCTGAGCGTTGTGGCCCATGAGAAGATGACCATAAAAAAATTGAAGAAATTGAATGCTCAGTATAGTTGTTATTTTGCCATTAATGTCTTTTTCTAGACATACAAAAAATATTCAAATATGAACAGATCAAAAATATCTGCTTCTAAGAGTTTAGATAAAAACATTACGCCAATTGCTGCAGTTTGACATAACGTGGAAAAGAATTTTCAATCGAAATATCTGCTTCATATATTTAAATACAGAAGACAAATTATGTAAAATGGGCTCTCAAATGGCAAATGTATTTTTGGTAAAACAAATATTTAGAGTCAAAAATATTAATTTCATAAATGTAAACATGTTAAATTAGTTTTAGATTCAGTCCAAAATGTCCAAATAATAATTTTAACATTGAGAGTCAGAAACATTAATTTCATGAATGTAAACAAGTTAAATTAGTTTTAGATTCAATCCAGAATGTCCAATAATAATTTTAACAATGCAAATTCGCTAGGGAATAAAACAATCTTTTCAAATTCAATTAATTGTGGATTCTTCAAAAGAATGTACATAAATATTGTATTTTAATTGTTAAAAACTATTACGAAATCCCCCTCAGGACCCTGACATTGTGAAGATACTAGTCGATAAGAGGCTGTCTGTCATCCGATGGACCCGTGATAAGCCACATCCTGCAGCGGAATTCGAACCGATCAACTCCTTACTCCGTGACTGTTGAGCAAACGCTCTAACTACTGCACCACGCGCGGGATGGGGCTGAGTTTATTGAATGTTAGTTTGGAAATTTTTGAATAAAGAAAAGAACTGTGTACTTGTTGCATAACGTGAATGCGTTCATGAAAATCCATGATTATCATTGTCCTTTATTACCGTCTTTCTTGGAAGACGGCATTCAGAGTTGAAGTATTTTACAGTCTTCGGACTATGCACTTCCTCTCTTTTATGATTGGTAGAAATTGCATGATGAGAAAATTTTCAATTATTTCATAGGATGAAATGCTGTTCAAGGCAAGGGAGATTATTTTCGTACGACTTAACGATATTTCAAGATTTTCAATCTTAAAAAAATATGACAAAACGAACAGTGGAAATTGGCATTAATTGATTCTAAATAACATGCTAGTTTTTTTTTAAAACAATTACCAAAAAAACATTTCTATATTTTCATTGTTAACAGAATTGATCTTTATTGCATGCAAGCTTTACAGCTTTATGTATTCTTTTTCCCTTTGTTTTGCACTGTTTTTCTAATCTGGATTCGGTCCACAATTAAAAGGTGAAGGTCAACAGGCTTAAATGTAGCGCATGTAGGAAATTCACATGCCTCACTTTCATTGATAATAATAAAAAAACAGCTGACATGTTTGTGATACTTTTTGGGTATAGAATAAAAATTTAATGACTAAAGTTTACAATGATATGCTTCAAGGTACATTTCAAGCATAAATTATGCATAGATATGTGTATTGAAATGGGAGGTAATTTGGTTTGTTTACACTTTTTAAGCCGACCGAGAGCTACTCTGAGGACATGACTTCAGAAGCTTATTAATAACCAGGGACTACCACTTTGAACACCCCTATTTTTGGATATGAATATTTATCTGACACATTGCTGTATCATTTGATCAAAAACATTTTAGAAATGAAGCTTTTAAAAAAGTTACAAACAAAATAAAACACATGTTTTTACTATATAAGTCTACACGTATTGTAAGCTAATCAAAATGTTGTTTTGCTGGAAAGGGATGAAAGAACGGATCCAAAAGGAAAGACGCCCATTCAAGGGTTTTTCAGTGTTCTTATTTGCTAAGGCTAAACGTGACGTTTGACTCTCCTCCCCACAGAAGGAGTGGATCCATCGTAAGATTTGTCCTTAAAGTAAACAAGATGTTTTTCTCTTTATGATATCTAATCCCTTTTTATTGCACGAAACAGGTTAACTGTTTTTAATTTTCTTTTTTCCTTTATTTTTCTTTTTTATTTATTTATCTATTCATTTTATTTATTTATTGTTATTCCGAAATTTATTTAGTGAAAAATATTTCTTAAGGAACACCCTTCTCGCAAAATTCCTCAATGTTAGGTTTAGGGGTTCTTGGCCTAGATGGGACATCTCTTATAATTTAATTTTATCTAATAATTACGTTATAATATTTAAAAAAAAAAAAAAGACTTCGAATTCAGGGCGTTTTGGATTGATATATCCCCTTGCACTTTCTCAAACTAAATTTTATTCTCAATGTTTAAGAAAAGCAAGATGATTCTAGTGTAGTAATAAAAGATATTAAAACTAGAATCAAGAAAATTAATTTAAAAAAAATGAAAGGGAAAAAATCCAGACAAACGAGTGTTGCTTGTTTGTGTTCAGTGATATTTAGTGTGTTAGCAAATCAAACATATCCGGTAAAATAGAAAAAAAATGATAACAGAGCTAGTGGCCTTCGTAAACCAAAACAGATGTTTGATTTAAAAGTTATGAAAAATACCGTTGTGATTGAATACTTAAAAATGATTCATATCATTTCCTATCATTTTACTGAAGTTACTTTTACAATTAATTTAGAACTTTATAAATACAAACAGCAATCAAGCTTTTACCACGACATTGCAAGAAACATTTTACAAAGTGTACTTGGTTTTTACTACGTATACAAATGAACATTTAAATGTTTATAAACTTAAAATAAAATACAGAGTAATATTAGATACACCAATAAAAATGGTTAGAAAGGATCTATTAACAAACAATGTACAGTATTAAACAAATGAAAAAATCAAAGAAACCCATCACAAAAAATCGTATTTTCGAATAACAAACATCGAACAGGTACATGATATTTCATAAATAATTTACTAAATTTAAACAAAGGTGTGTTTCCATATTGTTTTTAATACAGTTCAAATGCACCAAATTTATTTTCTTGCAATTTATATTTGATCCTGTTTGAATTTTGCAATGAGGAAATACTTTAAACTTTTTCACAATACATGTACTGATACAGTCGTGGCGCAGTGGGAGTTAGAATCCCACTACGGGACAAGTCGTTTCAGATGATAAACCGACTCCAAAGCTCTAACTACCGCGCCACGCAGCAACATGCTTAATCGGGGAAAAAAATAAATAAATTCACACACTTCAAATGTCAGATCTACCATATAACACTGTAATAAAATACAAATGATTGGAAATCATAAAATGCATTTAGAGGTATTGCAAAATATTGAAAGATTAGCCAGGATTCTTTCGTTGAAAATACACAATCCTCTCCCTCCTTTAAAAGGTACTCTCCATGTCTGCTTAACAAAAATGTCTGCAGTAACCAACGCCCAAGATATGACACAAATAATATAACATGAATTGACAAGGATACCACCGAGTTTCTCAGAATGTTAGCTGGGATTCTTCTGGCAAGGATAATGTAAACACTGTGATAAAACGTCAGAAATAAATGAAGGACATTTTTTGTGAATATTGTACTTGACCTTTCCACGTAACACGACGTGGCGGAGATGCTTCCGATTATGTTCATGACTACGATCCCGGCCATACAGCACAGCAGAACACCGTCCCATGTCGACATTGTTAATTTTATGGGAGAGATAGAGTCAAGATTTTGTATACCAACGAGAACTACCACCAACGCTATCGCTAGGCAAACAATAACGGACACATCCCAAATTTTCTTTACTGTGATAATTTCATTAAAGTACACAAATCTCATCAACACAGACATGGTAAAAAATGGTGCAACCAAAAATATTCCAACAAAAAAGGACGTGATTTTGACGGATTTCAATCTTTGCCTATTGCTATCTATAATTTGGTCGTTATTATCTCTTGTTGAATCACTGTCTTTCCAGTTTTTGTCAACTTTAAATCGTTCCATCCACGATTTACTTCCGACCGAGGGCCATAATCGAACTAAGAACATAGATGATATCAAGAGAAAGAGCATATTAATGCTTAGAAGAAACGGATTCAGTACCCTCGATATGTTTTGGAGTTTAGAATGCCAGTAGCAATAATCATAAACAGTAGCATTTGGAATGGTCATTGAAGAATTAACCTTTCCAAAAGTGTAAATATCCGCAATTTTTACTGTTACAAAATTGATCCATATGCTTAAATTGACCAAAAGTATAACAGCAATAAGATAATTAGTTAGAAGAACGCCTTCCAATCTTGTATTTCGTAAATACGTTATGGCGCCCATTTGCAACAACATAAATGTTATTTTAGGTAATGTATAGAAAATTTCTTTAATTCCTTCGGAAGTTGTTTCTGAATTGACAGCGATACAATCAATAATTATTGCCAAACTAATCCCTGTACGAAGAAGAACACCCAGACCAGAAAACCACAAGAATATTAACTGCAGGCTTATACTCTTGTGCTTGAATTGCTGTCTCCGAACAATGTCACATGATCTGCAGCAAAAAATTAATACGAGAAGAATCATTATCCAAACTGTTCCTGCAACCATTAAACTCACTAAAATCGCAATTAATATTTTGCTTGCAAAAGGATCTCCTCTCGGCTGAGCAGAAAAGCATCCGATGGTAACAAATAAGATAGCTGCTGAACAGGCATAGAAAACAGTTGCTGAGGTACTTCCGTCAGAATTAACAGTGGCTGTTGGATTTCCGAAGCAAAAAGGACTAATAAACACGAAAGTTACCAAATTTGAAATTTTGGTTCTGCAATTAACTTCCATGTCTGTGAAAAATAAAAACACATAATTATTCACCCTTTTCTCTCTCAACTCTCAACACACTCTCTCTCTCTCTATATATACATATATATCTATATATCTATATATATGTTTGAAAATTTATCTTATACTTTTGATCAAAACAGTTCTAGGATTAATTACAAACCAATCACGTTTTGAAAGTACGAGGTTTCATATATCTCATACTTACTTTTCCCATTAAAAATAAACAACAGGTGTGATATATTATTTCTAGAGTGAGTTTTCAACACGAATCTTTTCGAAGGATTGAATGGATATCATTTCGACAGCTGCGGTACAATGGTCAATATGTTTAAAATTGCCTGATTTGAATTTCTATCATGTACAATTTAATCCACAAGATAATTTATACGGTTTATAAAATATATCTTCATGTATAATATTTTGACGTACATATTTTTTTTATCTCGTGCACTTCATATTTATCAAAAAATGTATATAGTCTTAAGTTTTCTTTAACAAATATAGACGTATAAAAAGACTAACGAAATCAATCATTTTTACTGTTATCAAAATATGTCTCAGGGCAAAATTCAAAGGTTTGAAAAAAAAACCATATTTGAATATATAGTCTAAAGATAACGAACAGTAATCTCAAAATTCCATCCAAACAAAACAGATTGGGAAAAGAGCAAGGGATCAGGTTTCACAGAGGAGTAAACATCCCCTATAGACTGGTCACGCCCGCCGTGTACTCCTTGTCATGATCCGACAAACGGAAAAATCCTTTAGCAATGGCCTAACAATTTGTATGGAAAACGTTGGCGAACGTTTGCTTTTATAATAGATTTTATCTGCTGACAAGGTCTTTGTATCGACCATAGAATTTTTGAAATGTTAAGTTTATACGAGACTGTTTATATCTTTGTTTATTACATTTTGAAGGGTGAAAAACTAATTTATTTATTACATAAAAGTGAAATTCTGTCACAGTGTGAAAGAATATCAAAGTAATATTCTGTCACAGAGTATCAGAAAACTCAAGATTTTCCTCCCCAGCCTATTTTAAGATAGAGAAAGTAAATAAACCATCCTGACAGAGACTAAATCCGCCAAGGTTTCTCCAAACATGTTGTTGAAATCCATGTTTACAATGTTTTAAATCTCACAATCACTAAGCTATGACATCTCAATTGTAATTAAATGCATCTATAAATAAAATATAGAAATATTGTTTACATTTGAAAAAAAAAAAATTATAAACATGTATGTATAACAGGCTATCCCACGGTACGAAAGACATCACTTAATTTTTGCATTTTATATCGAAAATTATCAACTAATTCTACCCGGTTAAAAGCCCACAATACTGTGGGCTTTTAACCGGGTAGAATTAGTTGATAATTTTTCTCCTAACTTTCTGTTTTGATGCTAACTCCTCTCGGACACCTGTTCTTATCTCTGTTATTTCCAGGGGGTTGATCCGTGTTTTTGCCCTGTTCATGATTCCTTTCGTCTACTCTATTTATGACATTTGACCATAATTTGTTATCTTTTTCCCCTTTTATATTTCAACTAGCATATTGGCACGACAGAAAATTCAAAGTCTTAATCGAAAATGCCTACTCCTTGTAAAAAGATTCACCATTACATGTATTCGGATTTTTGATGCTTGCTGTCAATGGCGTAGAATACTTCTGCATTAAAAGACATTACACTCGTATAATAGATACTTTCTCAAGCGCTTGAAAGGAATGACCGAAATTGGCAGTGTGAATTTCAGTAGACCTCTAAACGTTGTGTAAGTTTTTTGTCTTTTCTTTTCATTTTTTGGGCTTGTTTCAAGTTATAAGCGTATCCAAAAAGACGAGAAAAAGCTTTGAAATGATGAAAATCTAATAGATGTATTCTAAAAGTCACTGAAATTTAATTGACATCGTAAAAAATGAGGTGGATGCGCGCACGTGGGAGAGACTCTACGTGAATGTATTAAAAAGAATAAAAATGAACTAACCTAGGCGCTAAAATCCTAAATCCTCGTCAGTGTCACTGTGCAAGGCTCTCGTATTGGATGTCTGGGAAGGCGTGTTGAAGGAAGCTTTAAGGAAAGTTTTGAACCACTTAGCTATGAAGCATTTTAAATATGTACATTTTCAGAGAGGAATCAGGAAAATATTATTCTCTTAGGACGATCATAATTTTCCTGGGAAATTAATTGTCCATGCCAGAAATGCATATGATATAACCTAAAATACATAGTTTGTCAAGTCTAGTTCAAAAGTTTGCTTCGGAATTTATTGGTAAATTCACGATAGGAACAGAGGATGTTATAATTGTACTTGAGGTACAAGATTATACTCTTCAATGCCAATTAACCTGAATAGGTCAAATGGCCAGTCCCTATTTAGAGGTGCGGGGAGGAGGTTACAAATCTCCTTTGTTTTTTAAGAAAACTATTTATCATTTCAACATTTAACAAGTGTACTGTGGGAAGGCGCTGCTCTTTTTCCCTTTCCATTTCAAGGATCACGATTAAAAGTTGATTATTGTTTTATTGTACACAAGTTATCGATGGTCAATCAAAAGATTGTTAAGATTTGTAGATGTCAAATGATTTATTACTAAAAATGATAAAAATTCTTTCGGAATCGATTATCTGTACAGGTACAACTTTGAAGAACTGTACATGAACAAGAAATAAAATTTTAAGCCATGAAATTTTATTTTAGATCAGCAGATATCGGCCATCGTAAACTTCAGATTGCAATGTCGTTTTCCTTCCTCCTTCCTTATGCTAGCCTCCTAACCATTACACTACACAACTTCTGACAAATCATGTCATTTCAATCATTTCTGTGATATGTTTAAGGTACATGTAGGTAATGTCTGTCTTTCCGGTCACTGGAAGTGAAGTCACGGGTCTCTCGGATGTGACGTCACGGTAAGCGTTGTTGTTCTAAAGACCTCTTACTGCCACGGCCTTAAGATCCATGCATAGGTCAAAATTTGTGGCACATAAAGCATGCAGGTGATGTCTCTTTATGAGTGAAAATTTCTCAAATGAGACGTTAAACAGCAATCAATCAATTTTGAATCGCTTGGGTTAGTACGATGTGGCATATACATTGTACCATAATGATTGTTTGCAATAGCAAAGTTTCTAGTTCTAATACATGTATATCATTAGTAAAGTGTTTTCCGACATATGAAAGTCGAAATGATAAGCAAGTTAAAATCTTCCAAAAAAAAAAAGATTTATTTATTTATTTTCATTTCATTGTGTGATCATATTACAAAGTACATGTACATGAATAAGAGGTGTAATATACATGTACTATGTACATGTATTTATGTATCAATTTTCTTTCAAAATAGTTCAAATTGCAATTATAGCAAAAGGCTTATATTAAAATAAAATATACTCCTAAAATTAAAATAACATGACTCAAAGATATTTCATAAGAGGATATACGCATACAATTTATGTCTCCTCCTTTATTAATCTCTCTCTCTCTCTCCTCTCTCTCTCTCTCTTTCTCTCTCTCTCTCTCCTTCTGAAGACTTGTTATTCATAAAAATTGTCTCTTAATCATACAACACACTAGTACAATTTTTTTTCTAGTTTTTTTTTTCAACTAGTATCCGTTAATACTAAGTATTGAAGAAGGAAAAATGTAGATTCTATAAATGATTTCCACGAAGAAAAATGTGGGAAACTAATTAGTTTACAGTCTATATTTCTAAGGGTCATATTAAACATAAACCGTCTATTAAGGAAATAATAACGAGAATGATTAAAATTGCCTACGAAAATCCTACAACAATTGGGTACTTAAGAGAGGATTTAAAAGTGTAATTAATTCAAAAGGACTCAAAGTACCGGACACGTAAAATTGCCTATTCTTTCCCATATAGTGAACATTAGAATTATTTCAAATTCATATTAGAACAAGATGTGTTTGTGAAACACTGATGCCCCCGTATGGCATCTTATAACAAAGGTTAAACGTTCTCAAATGCAAACCAAATATGTTGGTACCCAAAGTAAGGTCTTGTCTCGAGGAATATACATGTGAAATAAGAGAGCCCTAGCAGCAACCATTGAATAGATATGGAAAAGGTTAAAGTCAAGGTCAAATGGTCAAAATTAGTGGTGCCTAAGGAAAGGCCTTCTCACAAGAAATATATTGGTGAAATATGAAAGCTGAAGCACCAATCGTTCAAAAGTTATGATCGACCTAGGTTTAAGTTTTTTCAAAAGTAAGTCAAACTCCATGGTCAAGGTCAATGGATTACAATTGTTGGTATCCGAAGGAAGGTCTTGTCACAAGGATTACATATGTGAATTATGAAAGCCCTAGCATCAACGGTTCAAAAGTTATGGCCAAGTTTAAAGTTTTTTAAAAGTAGGTCAAACTCCAAGGTCAAAGTCAAAGGGTCAAAGTTGTTGGTATCCAAAGGAAGGACTTGTCACAAGGATTATATATGTAAAGGATGAAAGCCTTAGCACCAACAGTTCAAAAGTTATGGCCAAGGTTAAAGTTTTTCAAAAGTAGGTCAAACTCAAAGGTCAAGGTCAAAGGATCAAAGTTGTTTGTATCCAAAGGAAGGTCTTGTCACAAGGATTACATATATGAAGTATGAAAGCCCTAGCACCAATTGTTCAAAAGTTATGGCCAAGGTTAAAGTTGGGTAAAATTTAGCAAAACTGGGTCAAACTCCGAGGTCAAATATGGTGGTACCCAAAGAAAGATCTTGTCACAAGGAATACACATGTGAAATATGAAAGCCATAGCTCCAACCAATCAAAAGTTATGGGCAATGTTAAAGTTTTTGCAGACAAACGGACAGCTAGACAGACGGACGGACAGGGCAAAAACTATATACCTCCGAATCTTCGATAAGGGGGCATAAAAAATTAGAAAAGTTATCTCTTCACCCTTTCGGTCAGTGCTGTCTTGTACGATTGTCGATTCAGATTTCAAAGGCGGGGCCAGAAGAAGGGGAAGAGCTTTTTTTAG